CACACAATAGATGCAGAAGAACTTGCCTTTAGCCAGATTTGATGACCAATTTAGGCCCCCCTAAGCTAGGGATCAAATGAGGGGGAAATAAAAGCGAAAAATGTCAGTGTCTCTTCAATCACAACTGATTTAAATTCAAAAACAACCTCCTCCCAGGGAAACAAAGTGAAAGCTACACCAGGGGGCTGACTGACTGAAAAACTAAAGCTCTTCCAATTTCTGACATTGATCACACGACATTGATCACACGAAGACATGTAGCGCATCACCAGTAGCCACAGTTCAATTTTGTGACTCACAAGCAACTGGAGTGAGCCACAGCATTAAAGGACACCTTTGAACCTTGAATTCCTGCAACATGCAGGCCCACAACAAGTGCTGTCTACTATGAAAGTGCTATACATATATTTTCAGGATCTACAGTGTACATGTAGGTTGTTGTTAGAACCCAGGCTAATTTGTGTTACAAGACATGACTTGGGTTCTACCACAACATGAACAAAGATCTTGAGATGACAAACAATAGCATAGGGAGACAAAATGCCCCTTTATCCCATTTTCAACTCTTATTTTCAACTCTCTTGTAACCTAAAAGCATTGTTTTGATCAGTCATTATTCATATACATTTCCAGATCTGCTCCTAAATTTATTCCGCTGCAAATTAAACAGACTGGTGATTTATAATGTCTACTCTGATTGAAAAACTATTCATGTGGCACATGCCAGTATTCCGGTCTAAATGAAAACAGCATCTAAAAAAAGAAATTGCTGAAAAAGAAGTGTGTTGCAAGTGGAGTCTTTAGTAAGCCGAAGATGGTTCACAATTGCTGATCTAAAGAAAATAGAAAGGCTGAAACACAATTGCTGAAAAAAACAAAAGTAGAATTTTGGCATTAGTTTGTTGCTATGATATTCCTGCCAACAGGAGAAATTTTCTTGTCTTTAGAAGTTAATTTGTTTCCTTTTTTGCAGCTGCCAAATATTCTGGAAAAGTTCTGTTTCTCTGCAGAGTTCAACATTCTAAGGGCAGATGGCTGACACATTTAACTCAATACAGTGTAGCATCAAAAGCATCAAGATGCCATTGCAGCATGGTTAAAATTTGTCAAATGGTCCCTATCAAATTTATTGGCACTCGAGCTGATTTTCACTGACCAAGATTTTTAAAAGATTTTGCGACTTGTATCTGTTATATTGCACATGATTTCAACAATTTTGTCAACACACTTCCAATCCCTTGCCACCTGGTCCCCATGCATCCTACACATCTTACCTGATCTTCATTAAGGTAGTTTGGCAAACCTCCGATGAAAATCTTGTGAGGGGAGTCAGGCACGACAGTTGAAACAACACCTGGCACATGAATTGTGGCTGTTTCTGTGGAATAAGAAATTGACAGTCAGCATCTAGGCATGCAACATGTACTTGTAAAAACAAACAGTACTAAGCAAGAGTTTTATAAAAGTAGGACCGAAAGATGAACATTGTAAATTGATAATCAGAAACAGTTACATTGTAGACATATGTATGCCAATGAAAAAATTCCACCACAACAAGGGATTTATCTTAAATACAACAGCAAAGTACATTTCTAATTTCATTCGAAGCTCTTTGCATGTATGATATAAATGGCTAGCTACACAAAACTTCCAAAAGCGAGGTTTACACTGGGTATGTACATGTAAATGTATACAATGTAAACACAGATTAGCTGTTATAGCTTGAGTCAGTAATACTACTCTTCCCCAACTTTTGACCCTTTACTCCCTGACATCAGTATGCATATTCTCCATACTGTTCTCTATACATTTCCTAACTTGCAGACAAGGAGAATTTGTTTAATGATCGAGAACTGCTTTAGTTGGTGATCATTTCCTTTTTTCTCCTGACCTTAATGTTTGATTCAGGGGTGATATTGTATGGAGAAATTAAATGTCAGTCACTCTTAGGGTTTGAAGGTTTAAACCACTCTTGACCTTCCTCGTTTGTTGTGTCTGCATTGTAAGTTTAGGTGCTTGATATGTAAAACAAGTCTGATAAGATTTACACTACACATTTCATCAATGTTTGAACTGTCTGACACACAGTAACAGGCATAAAAAATAGAAATATAAACAAATGCCCACCATACCTGACATTCCTGGAATAGGCTGGTAATCCTTAGGTCTTCTAATTTTTAAAGACTGACCCTAAAATACAACAAATAAAGAAAATGTCGAAGGTTCTTGGAGAACTACACGACTGTAGTGATTCTATATACAACAATATGACAAGACAGTCTTCAAAATAATTTTGACAATGTCTGTCTTTCTTTTGGAGTTAAATTTTAATAATGCCAGTTGTTATTAAGCTGCACCAAAACATTGAATGATTGAGTATCACTAAAGGAAGAGTTATCAATGCTGTGATTGTTTTTGCAGAGCTTTTGCAAGTCTCTGTACTAAAAAGTAAACAGTAGTTCTATTCTAGAAACAATTTCCACTCTTTCTACTTCAATTCATCAAGATTAGATTTGCTAAGACCAAACTACAACACTTGCTGAACTATACAAGTACCTCCAAGATAATTCCATCAAAAGCCATAGCTTGAGTGGTCTCTTCAACTGAACGAAGCTGGTAAGTGTGAGAAATCAGAATACGAGAACATGTGAATACTGTACCACAAAACATACTGTGTATATAAACAAGAGCATTCTACAATCTACAAAAGCAACAAGACAAACCACCAACCACCACCAAAAACAAAGACAGGATTGGCAAAGAGATTTCCAGAATATGTAACAGGAATTGATTAAAGATAACCAGCAATGGAAACATTTCCTCCTGCTTTGTCCCATTTGTCATAAAACTGAAAGAAAACTACCTGGAGGCAAACTTAATAAGCCGCTGATTTTTGTAGTTGCTACAACATTTATAAATCCCAGTAAACCAAAAAATTACATGCAACAAACAAGAACATGGCAGTGTACCTCAATAAAGGCAAAATTTTGTTCCAAGTTGATCTGTGCAGCAATGACAGGGTTTCCTGGTGCTGTGTTTAACTTGGCTTCTTGCATTTTGGCATTAAAGAATTCTATCATCAGGTTCTAGGTTTTAAATAGGAGGTTTAGTGTATTAGAAGGATTGGAGATATAAATTAAAACTTGGTCAATACAACTGTTAATTTAATTCTCAGCTTTTCAAATGGAAAATATCATCAGAGGACAGGGTTAAATGTATCTGGAGAAATTGGTTATTGCACTGTACAAATACAGTATGCAGCCAATCCCAGTACACCTTTGGAATTGTCACAAAGTAGCAAAAAAAAGAGAAATATAAAAATGAAAATAACCATAAAAACATTGAAAAACCTAAAAAGAGAAAAGAAAAGAAAGAAAGCTATCTCTGCTCCATGAGAATGATATTGCAACCATCTGAGCTCTGCACATGATTTGTACTCATAAACTTTCAACAGAGTTACAGGTAAGTATCAAGTTCATTTTGGTATTATTTTCTACATATATATTTTGTGTTCTCCATCATAAAAACAAGATACAACAAAAAAAATTGCATACAACAATAACACCTGAAAAAACTTACTACATAGATCATACCTCTGTTATACCAAAAGGAATGTTTCCAACATACAATCTTCGAGCCTGCCTTGTCATCTGACTTCCCTGTGGTAAACTGCTGACAGTGCCGCCAGGGACTGGACCACCTGCATTGACTGGTATCTGGCCAGCAGCTTTTTTGATTGAAAATATTGACAACAACATTTCAAGGATGAACTAGACAAGTATTATACATTAGAAAAAAATTCCTCAGAAATTGGTAAAAAATGAACTCCATGCATTCGATTTAAGTTGCACTTTACATGTACCTCTCATAGCCTTGTACTGAGCTGGTGTCAAATGCTCATATCCAATTGGGGGCCTGTCCCATAAGCTTTCCCTTTACAAGAAAATATATCATACATTACCGTCAGAAGAAAAATAAATGAGTAAATAAAAAACTATACAGCATTGGATATTAATGACAATCAATTGGCAACTTTTCTGACAACAGCGACATGCAGTACAGCACTAGGAAAATTGACTCTTTGTATTCTACCTCTTTCTCCTCCTCCTTGGTGGTGAGGGGGACCTGGAATAGGAATTAAAAATAACTCAGTTCTGTTACTGTCAAACAAACATGCAAATGTACCCTAGGTATATACATCATCCTATGTGCAAAGTAGAACTTTTGTAAAGTCTTACATAGCAGTGAGTTCAAGCTTTTTATAAAAATTCAAAAGGAAAATGCTTTTTCTCCTGTAGAAAAGTAGGAATCAGATTATTTAGATCCCACAGGTGTTCGGTTGTGGATATCTAATATAAGCATATCCTTTGATAAAGAGTATTTGCCATCACCTGTTCCCCCCTCGGTATCTGTCCCTTCCACCACCAAAGTTTCTTCGGTCCCTGTTAGGACTTCTTGATCTTGATCTGGATCTTCAACGTCGATCTCTGCCTCTATCACCTCTGTCTCTTGAGCGGTCACCTAAAAAATAATAAAAATATAAAATGTATAATTAAAATAGAGTAGTAGTAGTAGTAGTAGTTCTTTATTTAATGTGGCACTACACTTAGCTACAAGCTACTTTCCAGGAAGCCCACAACAAAATATTCAATAAAAAATTACAACCTACATTAAGAATTATGTACATTAAGTAAAATATTATTAGAAGAAAGGATATCGCAAATTTAATTATATATTTGTATACATGTGTGGTAAAACAGAGATAAAAAAACTAAAAACTTAAAATTTTAGGCGATGGATATCGTGAAGAAATGTTCTTGTGCCAGCCTTTGTGCAGATAGCATCTGGTAGAGCGTTCCGAGTCTTAGCAGCAAAATAACGAAATGACTTAAGACCATGCTTGGTACTGTTAACCTTAGGTAAGGAAAGCATGTTAGTGCCTCTTAAATTGTAATCAGTCCTCCTTGGTTTAACTAAGTCAGCAATAGGTCTGGGATCCTTATATAGAAAGCAGTTATTGACCGTGAGCAACATGTCTTGAATCCTACGACTCTTCAATGTTAAATGCAAGAAGATATAGTCGAGCAAGTCTTCATATGAAATACCCTTATCTTTATATACATATCTAAGTGCACATTGATTTACCCTTTCCATGTTCTTTGTGAAAGAAAAGAGTGAAAATCATGAGTTCCATGGTTCACATAGTTACATAAATACATATACTTTATTTATGCTTGAAATTTACAGAGTAGCTGTAGAGCTAATATCTTCGAGAAAATAAGCTATAAAATAAAATATTATGCTATATTACAATTCCAATATTATTTATAAACTATGTACAACATTATGCATGCAGAGGGAAATATAACTTGTAGATCTACTATGGAAAAGCTTCATATCTGAGGATCTCCAGCTTGAATTTTAGAAAATTTAATGTTTTATAATTTCAGGGAGAGAGTTCCATATTTTGCTAGCTAAGTATGAAAAAGAGTGCAGACCCTCAGTCGTTGTTTTTGGTTGGGAAGGGCCAGGATCATCCTCAGAGACCCAGGGGCTGTGACTAGATTTCAAGTAAGGGCAGAAGAGCCCCCAGGGACATTGTCTTACAAGACTAGTTCCAAATGGTTGCAGTTGTTCTGGCATCTGATTGGTGCCAGAAAATCTTTGTGTTTTTCTGCCCAATCAGAGTGAAGTGTGCTTTGGAGTCCTTTCATGTGTTTTAATATGGACATACACAAGAAGCTCTGTTGCTCACCATGTTTGTTTGGGCTGTGCAACAAAGCTTTGCTTGAGGTGAAAAGTTTCAGTCTCAGCACACACTGTAAGAGAAATCAATCAGATTGTCCATGAAAATCTTACCGGAAATTATACTGAATACTTTCGCAGGTATCACAAGAGAGCATGTTTAAAAGTTTGTGAGGTTGGTATAAAACATAATAGCTGCAGGCATTAATAATATGTCGCTTTAAACCGTTTAAATCTCTCTACATTTTTTGTATAATTTGCGGTCACTGAAACTTTGTCAATCCTGTGAAGTTATTTTGTCGCACGGGCCATGCAGGTATGTCCAGCAACTGTGCTTAAGCAGCCAAAATCTAATCTAATCTTCCCTTAAAAAAAAAAGAAAAGCCGAACGTGGAAACTTTTGTTTATTACATGTGGGTAGATGACCCTGTACTAAACTGACATTTACAATAAAGCAAACCCACCCTTTCCATCCAATATTTCTTAGTCTTTGGTTTTGTTTTCCCAATGAAAGCAGCATCGATTCCCAATGATCAAAGTTATTTAACTTGGTTTAAAGTGACACATAAACGTCTGCAACCATCGTGTTTTATACGAACCTCGCAAACTTTTAAACAAGTTCCCTTGTGACCTGCAAAAGTATTCAGTTTAATTTCCGGTGAGATTTTTGAGGACAATCTGATCGATTTCTCTTACAGTGTGTGCTGAGATTGAAACTTTTCACCTTGAGCAAAGCTCCGTCGATCATACGGCCCAAACAAAGATGGCAAGTAACTAAGCTTCCCGTGTTAAAACACAGGAAAGGACTCTAAAGCACACTTCACTCTGATTGGGCAGAAAAACACAGATTTTCTGGCACCAATCAGATGTCAGAACGACTGTGACCATTTGGAACTAGTCTTGTAAGACAATGTCCCCAAGGGCTCTTCTGCCCTAACTTGAAATCGACTCACAGCCCCTGGGTCTCCGAGGATGGGCCAGGATATGATTTTGGCACAAATTGTAGGATGAAGACCATACGGTGAACACATCTTTTAAATAACCTGGATAATTCATAAAAAACACTCTTATTCAACGTGATCATGAAGTTCTGGAGGCATCTAATGAATAGTGATTTTAAGTTAACTTTGCTTAGTAAACTGTTATAGGGAGAGCTGTAGTCCTGTAGTACAGACCTTAGAATGTGCTTAGTTAGATTATCTACTCTGTCAGCACTGCACGTACCACAGAAATGCCAAACTGAAGAACAGAGGTACAAATGAGAAAAAATAAAATCTTTATAAAGCTTCAATAGCATCTCATTATTAACAAGTTTCCAAAATCTAAGCATTACTTTTAATTGATAATTTATTTTCTTACAGATGACTAATAAGTGATTATCAAAAGAAAGCCTATTATTTATTGTCATCCCAAATAATTATTTCTATCGAGTTATTTACTGGGAGACAAAAATTGTGCTCAGTTTTTCCCAGGATTAGAGCTTGGTGCTTATTCTTGATACTCATTTGGAAAGTAGAGAATTACAACACTTTTTGGTTGGTACAGGGTTCTCAAAAAGATTTTGAGTAACCAGACTTTTATACAGAGTAGGTGGTACTACACAGTTTTATTTCCATCCATTTCATGTTTCCAGCAGAAAATTGAGCAAAAAGAATTAAAAATAGGCCTGTGCATTTTTCATGAGAGACAATGAAATGCCCTAGTTGCTTTACTGGTTGTTTGCAAGATGTGTTAGTCCTCATGTATTTCATTTCCTTGATCATAGGGGTGAGTCTGATATACATAATGGCAATCAAAATCTAGCAGCCAATTCTTCAAGAGTTCAAGATGTCAACATGGTGATGAAAGCAGGAATGCAAGGTACACAATAGCCTTAAAATGCAACACTTATATTTCATTATTAGCACTTTTCTTTGTCACCACTGCTTGGCTATGAAGCAGTATTTCTTACTGAGGCATTATATGGAGTCCAGCACATTAGTACACCAAAACAATATTCTTTCCCCTACTGAATATGTTTGATTATGTATGTATGTATGTACCTACCTATGTATGTATGTATGTATGTTGATACTGTGGGAGGAAAAAGACAAATAAACTACAAGTTTATCCATACAAGCCTGTTTCATGGTTGCCCACTCATCAGGGGATTATGTATGTATGTAGGTATGATTCCTTAAGCTCTGATGTGTGCATTATCGAAAGAGCTGGATTTCTAGATGTATTGGAGATAAAAATGCTTCTCCGAATTTCTGACCTATCTACAGTTGCATGCCCCCTCTGTGTGTTGCTTAAGCTAAAGTTGTCTTGAAATCATGAACTCATCGTCTTATCATTGTGAACGAAGAAACACAGAGTAAAATAATTTAACAGTTTCAATCTATAACGTAACTTGGCTAGACTGAAAAATAAAACAAATACAAGAGTAAAGAAGAGGTTAAGGTAATCAGATAATCTGATAACTCGACTGACTAATGATTAACTAAATGAAAGCAACTGCATACACATGACGCTTAAAATGAACATAATATATTGTAGGCAAGACAAAAGATCGATCACCGAAGACTTGTTATCGTAACAAGACTCTAGATCTTCCAAAAGCTTCCTTTATCAGGTTAGCCTTAGCCATTCAAACGTGCCGAACTTCCCCCGTGACTTTATCAAAAGTTTATGGAAATATGATCGAGACTATAAATAAAACTGAAAGGTCTGCCTAGATTATGCAGTTCTTCAAAACCTGATCGCTTACCGTAATCTTCTCGGCCATCGCGGTCGTTGTCGTATTCCTTCCGAAATCCACTTATTTTAGCACCGATATCTTCATCCAAATTGAACCCAGCCCCGTCTACTGCTGCCATATTCGTCTGAAAGCTTAAGTACTTTCTCGGTAAAGGCTAAACAAGCATGGACGACAGTTTCTTCACGTAGTGAGGAACTATGAAAACGAGGCTACGTAATTTAATGGAAGAGAGAAACTGGGAACAATTTACCAAATAACATCTGGACTCCGTGGAATGAGAAAGGAGAGAGAAGCATAAAACTTTTATCTAAGTTTGTCAGGAAGACATAAATATTTTTCGAAACGGAAAACATGAAACTACTTGTCAAAACCACAGTAAAGAGACTAAATGAGGAAATGAAATTATTCGATCGCTTATAGAGACATAGCATAAAATCAAATCAAGAGAAAATGGACAATTTAACAAATTGACGTTAATTTTCCATCGTCTATAACCTTAATGATCATAGAAATAACGTCAACAATGTTCAAAACTAGTAATCAGTAAATAGCGAGTGGGGAAAATCTAATATTCTTTTGTAAGTTCGACAAATGCGACGCCTTTGGAAGGAATTAATTTGCATAAAATGTTATTCGTTAAATTTCTTAATGCTCTTGTGCACATGGCCAACTAACGGCCTTCTTTCTGTACACATTGAAATCCCATACCCTCTGGAGTTAATTTTTAAAACCTCTCGTGAACTTAGTTTTGCTCGATTTAAAGAGTCTCAGCTGTGTTTTTATGGTCTAATCATTCCTTTTTTGAAAATTATTTTTAATTAATTTTCTGTGCCGTTTATACGTTATCGAATGCGAGGGCTGTTTTCATCAGACAACATCCCTTTAATCTTGAGTCGCACCGGTTAGGTCAAGCTGTGGTCAGCCTTTCAGTACGACTGTTTTAATAAATACAAGAAATATGTACGCGGTTAAAAACAAAGGAAAAATACTGAATTTACCTCCTTGGAGGAGTAGCTTGATTCTAATGCCAAGATTCTAATGACTTCATTTCCTGATGTGTTCATTTCATACTGTAAACGTGGTCATGCAGCTTTCACGAAACATTTCCTTTACTTTAAAAAATCCGTGTTTTAATTTAGAAGTGCCCTTTCCTAAGCCAGTTATTTGAATAACTTTTCAAACGAGCATCTCCTTTTTCATTCGCTCCGACGAAGGGCTAACGCTCGAAACGTCAGCTTTTATAATCGTAACGGTGGTCAATTTACCATTTCAACTTTGTTGATATATTCAAATTATTCCTTTTATGAGGGTTAGAGAAGGAGAGGGGCTTATGTCCGAGGGGACCTATGCCCGGAATAGATAAAACGCTTCAAAACGAGCTACACACAGCAGTGCTGATGAAAATGCGTTTTACATTTTCTAGTTTTTAATAAAGCTTCAAAACGTCACAAGAAATCGAGTTCCAATCCCTCAAAACGGGAAAAGCTAGATGGGGGCTCATCCCCGGGGCACGCGTAATCGGATGTATTTTTGTGTTTAGTAGTTGGGCCAATTTTCCATCGTTTCCATACGCACTGGCACCTCGTATTGGGAAATATACTTAATTTGATATGAACATGAAGGATAATACTCGCGGTTAATGATTAAAACTGCGAGACCAAATCTAAACATGAACTATTAAAGAGAATGACTCAGAGCTCACATCGTGAAAGGTTGGAGAAGAAATTTGAAACCGGATTTGAATGGAGCAGCCAGGCTTGAAAATTCCAAACCTTGATATTTTTTAAAGAAGCAGAGAAAACGTGAAGATATCTAGTTTGACAAACGATTCTTTTCTAAGGCACCATTCAAATATCAAGCATAAATAAGAAAGTCAATAGATAATTGTGATAGGAGCACGCGGAGCTCAATTTGGTTAAAATCATACGAGTGATTAATCAGTGTAATATCAGACCGCGCGCAGCGGGAGTCTGATTTATGATCACAGACCGAATTGGACGACATAAAATAAACATTATAATTTCAGAGAAAAACAAATACATTGAGGGAAAATTTTATGATAGAGACATTGTGTAAAGTAAAGAATTCCTCAATATCGGAAATTCCCCATTTCTTTTTTCAGGGTAAGCGGTTGTCATTATAGTCATTGTAGTCAATTCCGTGAATGGTGGATTTAGCTGGATGGACTTAAAACGCTTAGTCGCTTTAACTGTCCGATTACAGCCAACAGTCCGATCAGAGCTTTAAAGATTAATGAGGGACAATTAAAGCAGCTAATACACCAATCACATTGGAGTAAATTGTAATTGTTTTCTTTAGTAATGGTAATACGACTGTGTGGAGTCCAGTTCGGTCGGAAATCATATGCTGAGTGATAACAAAATCGGACGACCGCCCAGCTGGAGTCCGATTTGTTTTTCACGAGTGTGATACAGACGAATTGAGCGACACGACGTCTTCTTACCAATTAATCATAAAAATTATTATATCCGAGAAAAGAAGTACAGCAAAGTTATGAGAGAAAGGGAAATTAAAATTAAATGAAACCAAGGTTGTGATTGGTTGATTTAAACTACAACTTTGAATGTGATTGGTTGATTTAAACTACAACTTTGAACGTGATTGGCCCATTGAACTGTCCCATGACAAACTGTCCGATAACAACTTGGCAAGTGAATTAATGAAAATTGTTTTTTAAAACCAAACACAGTTAAGGAAATTTTAATAAAGATGATCAAGCCAAAAACTGTCCTAGTTTCCGTTTTAATTGACGACTATCAATAATGCGCAGATATCTATAAAATACTGCATCATGCAACTATAAAAACCTAATATCGAGTTTAAGTTCAAAGACAACAGAACAGTGACATTTTACTTACTTACTAAATTGCATTGATGTTCGAGTTTTGACAACCAAAATAAGGAATTATGTTGTAAAAAGACTCTACATCGATTCATTCTCTATTATATATTTCACACCAACCATTCGCAGATGATATAAATATCAGTACTTCACTACTGTCAGATGCTTATTCCTTCTCGTCTATGTTGGGAAATTTTACAACTTCTTCTCGGAAGAGAGCGTAACAAAACGTTAGTTGCGTTGGAGACTGCTTTAAAGATGCCCAAAGTGTTACTGTTTCACCCTCAAGTCTAACGTACAATAAACTGAAAATAACTAATAGCCCAGAGGAGATTTGTTCCCAGTCTTTGTTTGAATCGTTTGAGTACTTTTTAAGATTTGAACACGATTGCCGAAACAACTGATAATTTTGTCAATACCAACTTTAGAAAAAAATGTCAGTATTCATTAATTTGAGTGACAGATTTCTAAGCTGCCTTTTGCCAGCATTGCTGATCTCATTACCAAGTATACGAAGTAAGGTGACTTTGCATGTTCGTGTCTGCAATGTTTGACATAGAATTCCAACACCAGCATCAGTGATCCGATTATGACTCAAAGTCATGCAGTGTGGTGAGTTGATATGTTTCTGTCTGTAATGCTTGACATAGATTGGTGACACCGGCATCGCTAACCAGATTGTTTTCTAGATAAAGTTCGGAGACTTTACATGATGCTATCTGTAATGCTTGACATAGACTAAAAACACCGACATCGGTGATCTGATTGATATTCAGATTGAGTATTATGATTTGACATGTTTCTGTCCGTAATGCTTGACAAAAACTTACGAAACCGGCATCGGTAATCAGATTGTGACCTAGGTGTAGTTCGGAGACTTTACATGATGCTGTCTGTAATGCTTGACATAAAATGGCAACACCAACATCGATGATCTGATTGATATTCAGATTAAGTGTGGTGACTTTACATGATGCTGTCTGTAATGTTTGACATAGACTTACGGCATCGGCGTCGGTGATCTCATTATAAGCCAGGTCAAGACTAGTGACTTTACATGTTTCTGTCTGCAATGCTTGACATAGACTGTCAACACCGGCATGGGTGATCTGAATTAATCTCAGATTCAGTGTGGTGACTTGACATGTTTCTGTCTGTAATGCTTGACATAGACTGGCAACACCTGCATCGGTAATTTGATTTCCAGTCAGATTGAGTGTGGTGACTTTAAATAATGCTGTCTGAAATGTTTGACAAAGACTGGCAACACCGTCATCGGTGATCTGATTATTACCCAGATGAAGTGTGGTGACCTTACATGTTTCTGTCTGTAATGCTTGACATAGACTGACAACACCGTCATCGGTAATCAGATTGTAACCTAGATGTAGTTCGGAGACTTTACATGATGCTCTCTGTAATGCTTCACATAGACTAATTAACAACACAGGCATCGGCGATCTCATTGACCGACAGATTAAGTGTGGTGACTTGTAATGATGCTGTCTGCAATGCTTGACTTATAATTACGACACCGACATTGGTGATCTGATTGCCGCTTAGATTCAGTGTGTTCAGTTTACATGATGCTGAATACAATGCTTGAAATAGACTGACAACACCGACATGGGTGATCCTGCTAGAAGTAAGCCACAGTTCATTTAATTTAGATAGTGACAATAACTCGCCAATTTTATAGTCACAACTGTCACTAGATTCAGCCATTTCCAAGCTCAGGACGGTGACAGGACAGAATTCGCCCTCCAGTACTTTACAGATTCGTCTAAGTCCGGTCTGCGTAGTTTTACACCTCAAAAGCATCAATTCTCTAACCCGCGACATCAAAGGCTGTTGGAAGGATGTTTGATTCTTTCCGGTGGCTTCCTCTGCGTTCAGTGAACTGATGATATCTAACAGAAAACAGACAGCAATGCTGTCAGCGTCATTCACGTCTTTCAACCTAATCTCTCCATCACGTCCAATAAATTAATTGTGACGTTTCTTGAGGATGTGCTGTGCAAATTCTTTGTCTTGGTATTCCGTGATACACTTCGTTGTCAGCATTCGAGTAGTGATCAAATCCGCAGACGTCTGACTGATTTCTTCAAGTAACTTTTCCATGTAATATTTGTCGTTTTGCTTTGATAAAATACCAGACATGGATTGATAGACCATAGCTGACGCATTTTCTCCGGGGGAAGGAATTTCTTTTCTCTTCACAAACCAACGAGCTGCTAAATACTCCTGGAGAGTTAAATGGGTGAAACAAAAATATTTCGTCGTTTCAGAGAAAGATTTTCTAAAAGGAGGACCGCAGTGAAGAAGACCGCTTGCTCTCAGGATTTCGATTTCTCGTAATGTAAACCTTTTCACATCTTCGACAACGAGAATAAACTTCTTCTCCATGAGCAAGTGAGCAGCAAACTCTGATAGTTTTTCCAGAGTACCTTCGGGTGGAGATGCAGTGTTTTTATCATGGTTTCTTAAAAACATGTTAACGGCCTCGAAATAAATGACACTTGTGTTGACGGGGAGAGCATCAGTATCCACTGATTCCTTTAAAATGTACTCAAAATAGGAGCACATCAGAAAACAGAGAACTGGAATGTGGGCGAAGCTGACAAGATTTTCATTCTTTGTGATGTGATCTATCACAGCGTTCTTCGTGACTTCGTCTCCTTTGAAATACTTTTCTACCAATTCTTTTACCTGTTTTTCGGAAAATTCTGTGATTTCTATGTAGCGATCAAAGTCAATTCTACCTGTCATTTCATCGGACTCATCAGGCCTTGACGTTATCATGTCAACCGAACCTCTCATGAGTTTTCCTTTGATTAGCTTGGCACACAGGGCTTCCACTGGCATTTCCTCATGAGCGCTATTCGGGTAGCGGTCATCCCAATCACTTGCAATTGTTTTTTCGAATACTCGTCGTACCCGTCAATGATAATCAAAACTTCATCAGAATGATCCACAATGAACTCAAATAAAATGTCGTCAATATTTGAGCGTTCATCCAACATTGAAGACCGGTTTAAGATTTCTCTCAGAGTAACACGGTCATCTCCAAGTAAATTCAATTGACGGAATGTCAGCAAGTATGCGAACTTCAGATCAGGAACTGTCCGATTCGTTTGAGCTTCAAACAATTTGTCATTAGCCCAATCTCGAACCAATTTTTGACAAAAAAGTGTTTTACCAATACCTGCCTTACCAATGATGAGAACAGACTTTGGATTTGATTCCTCGTAAAGATCGATATCAGAAAGGAAAATTTCTTGACAATGCTTCATTGCTTTCCCGCTCACTCGACCGAACCGGCGAAGGCGTTCTCTTCTTTTCATATCGAGGTCTTCAACTGACTCTCTTCCGTGTTGTATGAGAAGACTTGTGAATATGTCATCTGTTTTTGGCCTTGACATGGTTGGGGAAGCTGAGGGTTGGAACTCAGTTTGGCTCTTAATTGATTATTTCAGTTTGTTTGTGTATGTCTTTACAGCTGAAAACAAGACCAGGTGAGAAGCATTAAAATTTGTTCCTGGATGCAGTTTATCACTTTGTGTTTTTGCCAGTTCTTTTCGCCAGTTCGCAACTTTCTTAACTGTTCGTGGAAGTGCTTAAGTATATGTGTACGGTTTCATTTATTGTTTTTTTTTTTTTCACTACGTCTGACTAAAGATTTTGAAGGCAGAGTCGTTTATATAGAAATCAATTAATTTAAGGGTTACGTTTTTGAAAGTATAACTGAATGCAGATACAGATGACAGTCATGGCGCTTAAACTCATTATTGTCTTAATAGACGATGAGAACAGAGTTCAAAAGTGCTTGATAATAAAAGCCTAAATCATAAATTGATTCTTCCTGAATATGTTCGCCAATGTGCTTGAAACCACGATGTCTGGTTGCCTGCTACACTTAATAATAAAACTTTTCCTATTTTAACCATATCTGTGGGGTGTTCGAAATACAATTTCAGGGCGGAAAAGGGAGATTTGAGCTGAGGAAATGATTTGAGATTTCTCTAGGATGGAGAGCCTTTCACTTTACTGGAAGATTACAGCCGATCCATGTGAGGACATTTAAATTGAAGACCAACAACACCAAAAAAAAAAAAATCGTAGCTCTTAGGTTCAAATTTTCTTCATCAACAACAGGTCAAAAATCTCGAGGCCACATCCCTGCTGCATACAACTACAAAGTATTGACGACAAATTGCACGCCCTCTCTCAATTTTGAGGACAAACTTGATTTGAAAAAAAAAAAAAAGAAGGAAATCTGCGTAAAATTCCCCTGAGTGTGACCCGGGTGGTCTTGAAACCTTGCCCGAACAAGTTATTTGTTGCATCTCTATCAAAGGAAATGAACCAAGTCTCGAACTGATACAAAAAAGATCACTTGATTACCTTCGACTCCAGTTTTTCTGTCAGGATTTACCAAAGCTTCTTTAACTTCATGGAACTTATGAACTATATTTTCTTCTAGTTCATCCAATCTCTTCTCGATACTGACTTCATCCATCACTACTTGCCTTAGAAGCTCTTTGTAGCGTTCCTCGAAATCAGGGTCCATGCATTGCGTTTTCAGATCATCAATGGCAGCTTGGTAACCTCCTCCTCCCAGTCTCACGAATGGACCTTGGATGTCCTGCCAGTACCGATTGAATGTTGTGTCATCAACTGAGGCCTGATTGGCATGACCATAGACTGTGTTTCTGTAGCACTTGATACGAACGATATCTGCCACAAGGGTTGTGTCTGGTGCAGGAGGAAGTGCATCCCATGCAGTCGGTGGGTGGACTAACAAGACCACATATATTCCTTAGCAAAACCTTCAGTAGAGTTATATCGAAATCCTTTGATGAAACTGAAGATCTGATCGTAGGATAGAGTTTTCTCCATTGAGGAGGATTAAGAATTCGTCTCTTTCAAAGTGATTGTAAACGTGTATAAACTGGATGACTCGACAAAATTGCGTATAGGTCTCCTGTTGGACGCTTCTTGTCAAATGTTTCTCTCGGGACATCTGAACCAACATCCACCAGAAGTCTGCATAACCCGGGCGTAATTAGTTGTCTCCTTAGTGGAATGATGTGACGATGGCACTGCAGAAGCCATGAAGAATCCTTTTCAAAATGATCAAAACTAAATTACCTTTCTGAAGGCATAAAGGCATATCACGACATTGCTAAATATTTTGAACATTTCAGTGTTTGGTTATTCTCCTTTTCAGTTACACTTCTGAAAAATGTAATGCAGGCAGTTTAAAAACGACAAAAGTATCTTAACTTGTGCTTCTAAAATAACATTTAATTTACGTTACGAGATGAAACGTGAAATATATCACTCATAATGAATAGACAATCAATTCATAAAGTTTCGCAGCTCACAATTCAGCACTCGTCCGTACAGTTGTCTTAATTATTCCAGCTGCTCTAAAAGTAGACATGTGTTTCAGTTGAGTATTTCCAACGTTTTCTGAAACAATGAATAGTCCTTTTTACAGTTGTGGGCTTGGTGGCCAAGCCTTTGAACAGGAGTGAGGCTAAGGGTGACCTTGTTATGACAGAGATGTTGCTGCTTTTCAAATGCAAATTTCTTTCTTATCATGATAACTAGATACAGGTCTCTATCACAACAAGGTCATCCTTAGCCTCACTCCTGTTCAAAGGCTTGGCCACCAAGCCCACAACTGTAAAAAGGACTATTCATTGTTTCAGAAAACGTTGGAAATACTCAACTGAAACACATGTCTACTTTTAGAGCAGCTGGAATAATTAAGACAACTGTACGGACGAGTGCTGAATTGTGAGCTGCGAAACTTTATGAATTGATTGT